ATTTTTACAACACGAGTAGATCCTTAGATACTATTTTCTGATTTAAAAAATTGTTAAGGGTTTAGTCCTGGGTCAGGGTCATCTAAAAAGAAGGGCTCAACTGAAGGATGAGTAACCGAAGTTCTTCACTGTTTAGCCTAATTAATATGGTTAGTTTTTTCAAAATTTCTATTAGTCCTGGGACGTTTATAAGGGTTGGGTAGTGAATCGACGTTTGAGGTCGTTTGGAAGGGAGAACAAAGTTGTTCTGTTTGATCAAAGAAAAGCCTTGATGATCAATAATAAAATAATTAAATTTTAGGTTTAATTTAAATGAAAGATCCAAAGAAAGCCTTGATGATCTTTTTACCAAAGAAAAATAGAGTATTAAAAAACGGATAAGCCTTGATAATTTTAATTCAACAATGCATTTGAGATGAAGCAAGTTTAGAGGTTAATATTTTGATGAGACTAATTTTTTGAATTATTGCTATTATGTTTTAGGTGACGAAGCTGGGATTAGAAAAATCAGATAATTTTTGAAACAAACAAATATTTTTGTACAACTAATTTTTGTTTTTTGTATTAAAAAATTTTTTATTTAAAACTTTTGTTTTACTGCAGATTTTACAGGGAACGACTTGAGTTCTTTTGGTCAGTCGTTATTTTATAGATAGTATAATTGGCACCAATAAAGTTGTTGAAGGATTACTTCAATTTTCATGTCAGAGAATGAAAGTTTAAATATACTGCATAAAGTATTTTAAATACAAAGGTTTGTTCCGGTTTCCATCGTAGTATCATGTAGCAGAGTGGTCCGACTCCTGATTGTCTTTCGCGCCACGATCTTGGTCTTCTTTCAATACCTGGTATTTCTGGTATTGTTTGACATTTTAGAGTAAATTTATTGAGACGTAGAGACATTTCTTTTAAATTATCTATTCCGTCTATCATTTTTGCAATTTTACAATTGTCTAGTTCTAAAATTAATTTTTGCTAAATCTAAGTTATTTAAGGTCTTGTTTGAGACTTTTGATTGCACCAGATGAGTTAAGTGCTACTGACTGTACTCATAAAAGATTTCAGATATGGTGCACCGTCTGCTCGTCAGGTTTTCTTATTTTCGGCCGGATAGATCTATGCAACCACTTAGTCTTAAACCGATCTTAACCTTACTCTTTTATCTCCTAGTCTCAATAGATCTAGTGTATACCGGTTTATGAGAATTAGTTGTCAGAAGCAGAACAACTGTATTCTAAGTTTTTTTCAATTTGTTCTGGTGCGGAAACTAAAAGTAGTTTCAGCACTTACAAATAAGTGTAAATGTTGGTTAGATGGAATATGGTTGGTTAGTTATAAAAAATTTATGGTGATATTCCATCATAAAATAATTGGTCTATAAATGCTAGTTTAGAACTGGTTCCAGGTAGCTCATAAATTGACAATTTATGGCTTAAACTTTATAATCATAGCGCTGTCAAAAGACGATTCGGAAAACACTTTTTATGTTTGACCCGCAACTGAAGAAAAATGTATATTCTTGACAATCTCAATATAAATAAAAACGCACAATGACAACAACGGAAAAATCAAAAAACTCAACAGTAATGTGATATTCCTCAATTCGTATAACTTCATGCTAGCGCCGCAGGCAAAACTTGTCGATAATTTGCCCAACAAAACGTTTTCTGCTGGAGAATCATTTTGAAAAACTAGGCCACTCCCCTGAAAAAATCAGTATGATGAAACAGAAAGGGCATTATCCCTACTCATACTTTTCCTTCAAAAAGTTCAGAGAAACTCGACTTCCCCCGCGAGCAAATTGGAAAAAGAAGTCTAACAGGAGGGAATGTGAATGTTACAAGAAGCCAGTAAACTCATACCCTGAAAGTTTTCACGGAATTGAAGTGTGGTTTTCTTGGTGATCACCACGACTTGTACTTGACTACAGATGTGCTTTTACTTGCTTTCGTTTTCGAAGCTTTTTGTGAAGTTTGCTATGAAACGTACGAGCTGGATTGCACCTGTTGATTTACGGCAACTAACCCTTCCGGGGAAGCCTTTAAAATAGTTTGTAAGCCCGACCTGAAATTCTAAATGTATCATAACTATCTGGACCTTTTGCAGCGAATGACACTAGAAGGCAAGTCGTCGGTTTACGCGCGCCGATTTTACAAAGCAAACAAAAACCACCTCGACAATTTTTCGACCAAACAATTTGTACGGGGGGATAATGAAACACTGCCTTTTGTCATTAAGCCGTTAGATAGTTGAAGTGCGTTTGACTATAACAGAAGAGCTTCATGACCTTCTCGCTGACTACCCTCTTGCCCCCTCTCGTGAAATAGTGGAGGACGGTGCAATGGAATACGAGCAAGTCGACTTAGTGCGAAAATTGGGCATCACCACACTGCCAAAAGTGCCAAAGCTTCTGTAGACCTTGCGACCTAAAGAAGGTTATGCTTTGAATTACCTTACCCTAAACTTGTACCACGAGCTGAAAATGAAGATAACTCACCTCGGAAAAGTTCTTCAGTTCCGCCAAAGTCACTGAATGGCACCCTTTGTCGACCTCAACGCCGATTTTGCTTTACATGAGGAACCCCCTCAAGAAGGACGACTCCCTCCCATCCCTTAAGATCCGGGACACGATAAAATACTACTAACGATATAAATACATAAATCTTAAAAATCCTTCTTAAACGATGTGAGGCGTCCATATTTGGTCTATTTGATGCTTTCCTTTTTCTGAATAAAAAATCACCTCATTTTTAACATAATTTTTTTATATAATTTTTTTTTAAAAACCAAACACCACTCCATAGAGCTTACAAAAGAGTGAAAGGACTCCGGGCTTCGCTCTGATACGAACAGTCTTGTCTGATATTGAGCTTAGGCTATCATTAGCTTACAGCTGTTTTAAAGTTTGGCAACGTTTTCATTAATAAGTCAAAATTTATCAGGAGAAAAAGGTCTCTGAGCAGAAATAGTCAAACACATCGAAGTTAAGGCAAAACAAGCTATTATGACGGATTTTTATGTTGACTTTTGACTATTGTAATTGACAAAAATTAACAAAATTAGTTGTTTGAACGATTTAAAATTGATTAAGTTCGTGACTTTTCCAAGAGAGTATAACATCTTATAATCGATTATAACTGATTATGGTTCACACAAATAAGTCTTTATATCAATTATATTCGACTAAAATCGATCACAATGTTTCACTGTGTCACACCAAAAGTATATTTTAATTAGATCTTGTGAGTTTGGGGTATTATTTTTCTGTCAGTAACAAAATCTCTAAAAGTGAGATGCCTTGTCACTTTTTGGTTCCTCTGAACACAACGTTCTTCCACGAAACAAAAATTCTATAGATATTCATTCATTTTAGTTTAAAGGTGCCCTCAGTAGCTTAAGAATGAATATTCCAAATAAGTTATGAAACTAAAGCAATATGCTGATATTTTATTGGTTAAAAAAACTTAAAATGTACATCATGAAACAACTCTAATGAAGATATAACAAAAAAATATAAAATGTTACAAACTTGAATTGATTTGAAAACTGATATAAAATTTTTTCATTTTTCCCATAAACCTTTGTCTACGAAAAGCATAAAATATAAGCAACTCAGATGCAAGGTCGAAGACAGAATGGGCAAACAAAAAGGATCATTATCGATTATAATTGATAACAATGGATTTTTATGCGAAACATATGAATTAGAAATTGAGATAAAAAATAATCACTTTTTATCAATATCAATTGATTGTAATTGTATCGGAATATAAATGCATAAAAATCGATTAAAATTGATACAAATTTGATGAAAAACAAACATATTATAATCGATTATTAATTGATTAAAATCGTTTTTTTTCCCTCAATTTTAGTAAGAATATGGTACTATAAAACAAAACAATTGATTATTAACGTGTAAAACTGAATTTGGGATTCCACATATTACGAGGCACAACTGTGCACTGGATAGGCGCGCAATTGGGTGTTTGTAGGTCTCTGGAATCCAGAGACAAGTCGTTTAACATACTAAAACCTCTAAAACCTAGTCGGAACAATCAAAGAGAGTGAAAGAAGAAACAAAGAATAAGGAGAGCGTGCTTGTTGCGTCTTTGCAATTCACAAAATACACAGTTTGGCCTCGTGATTCACTTTCTTCGAATGGTGGAACAATGACGCGCAATTGAGACATTTAATTATTAAGCAGCAGTCAACTCAGTTCACAATTGAGGATGTTAAATTTCCGGCCAGTTCCCAAATTCGGCGTTTTGGTGCTATCCAACTAGCTGTCTTTGACCTATACGGCGGTTAAACTCGAAGAGAATGACGGAATTTTGTTGCTAGTGTTGGTTTTTTCAACGGACCAAATTCGACTTTTGAATTTAAAATTTTTGACAATGATTTCTGTACCATCTGAAAATAATTTTTGTCCAGAGCTCGAATTTTAAAAAACGTTTTAATGGTGATTGTTTTTGTTTAGTCATGGGGGTTCGAAAATTGAAATTCCGGCCGTTTTGGGATAATTAAAGCGCGATATATTTTGTGCTTTCAAAGCGTAAGCGGCAAATTAAATCGTTCCAAATTGAATAGAAGCAAAAAACTTGCTCCAAGTAATGTATTACCAGGCTAGAAGAACATCGCTGTGTAGTTTACATACAGTGGGTGGGGTATAAAATGAAGAAAAAATTGGAAAAAAAATCTGATGTTTTGCATTTTTTTCTGAGAATTCTATAAATTTAAAAATATATACTTTTTTCATCGACTTCAAACGGCAGTCGGAATATTCACTTTTTTGCCCTGGAATGCACAATCTAGTTAATAATTGGAAAACTGGAAAACAACTTCAAAGTGTGTTTTATTGCAGTCTGCTATGGATTGATTTTGTATTCTAAGTTCCAAAAAAATTTCTTATGCTCATCGCTTTGAACTGTAAACAAGCCCTCCTTCAAACCCCTCCTCACTCCTCCCCCCTCACCCCCCCCCCCCCTGGTCTTACTCACTGGTCACAGGATGAGATGGGATATCCGTTTGCACACAGCTGGAGAAATGTGGTGTTTTTGAACACCACGTGACCATCCTCGAGCTTCTTGTCGTACAAGCACCTCACCACGAACTTGTTGAAACCGAGACAGTCGTGCACTGAGCAGCCGAACTCGCTCACGTTTCTGGACATGAGCTATAAAAACATCACTAACAGCACCGTTAAATGCACAATCGTCAAACTAAAATATGCCTCCTATATACCAGCAAACACAGTTGCTGCACAAATAACTGTGGGTAGTCGTTTTATTTGTATTAAAAAAACTACATTTAGTGTTTATATGGATTTTTTGATAAAATCATAGCCAGAGGATAGTTGGAATAGAATGGATAACCGCAAGAATGCAGAAAAAAACAGATTTGGTTTATTTTTTTATCTTTTGACTTTCAAAAAAATGAATGAACTTAAAGCTCTTTGATTTTCAAGAATAATTTTTGATTGACATTTTTTGATAAAACTAACGCAATAGAGAAAACTGGGTAAATTTTTCATTCAGCTGGGAAGTCTGAAATTTTAAATCCACTTTCGAAATAAGAATTCGATCACGTGTTTCGTGATTTTGACTCTTTTGCTTTTCAATAGTCGAGTTGCCTTCCTTTTTGTTTCCTTTTGCAACAAAGGTAATGAAGAGAACTAAAAAGAATCAAACCGGGAAAATCAATTTGGAACCTGAAAATTTTTTAAAAAATTTTTCCTGAAAAAAAACATCACGACATAGTCATAAGAATCTTCACTACAGTCATCGTCTCTTAAACAGCTATCTCAATTTGAAAAAAGAAGGAAAACTGAATTTTTAAACAAGAACGAAGCTTTCACTTTTATTTTGCGCATCAAAAACAAAGTCTAAAGACAATGGGGAAAGGGTTCACGTGGCTCGGGTTGATGTCCAAAATCGATAATAATAGTCATATAAAATCTCTTTGAAGTTTTCTGGGAAAAAGGTTTACGTACAATTTTCATATAGGAAAATACGCGATTAGCATTTTTAGATAGCATGATAAAAGTATATAAAATTGAGAAGCTTGGTCTGCCTCAAAAAATTTCAAATTTTTAACCGTGAAATCCTTACTGTAATCAGACAAGTTTTTCCCAAAACTAAATAAGCTCGCATTTAGTATAGCTTATAAAGAGGCAAAGTGGAGCATCGTATCAGTTTCGATACAAAAAAAACGTCGCATACAAATTGTCAATAGAAAGCGAGATGGAAAACAAAAACACTGAGAAAAAATTTCTAAAAGTCTAAAAAAACTCAATTTCCAAAGCAGAAACGAGAAACACAGCCATTAGCACTAGACGAGCTTTAAAACTAGACCACGAAATCGATTATATTGCAATTATAATAAAGAAAGAAAGAAAGAATTAATTTCTCAATGTTACTAGAAAATTCATATCATATTGCGCATAAATACATCAGTATCAAAGAGAGGACAGCTAACGATCCCATAAGGGATACTAAATGCTGCCCCCCAAAAAAAAATATTAGAAACATGAATGATGTAGTTAGTTGGGTTTCAAATTATTATGAAATCTAGTGCATAAATTCAACATATTTGCAAAAATAAAACGAACAAAAAAGGTGAAATATAAAAATCATACATTAGAGGGTCTAAAGGCCTACTCAGAAATGGCATGATTTATCTCCGTTTTAAGTAACACACAACATAACTTAGTTTATTTAAAACAGTTGCAAATGTTAATGAATTGATTATAATATTTACCTAAGAAAAAAAAATACAAATTTTTTCCTTTCATTGTAAGCCTTGGGCATGAATATGAAATTTCTAAGTGATTTTTACGAAAAACGAAAAATTGGGCATAGGTTCTCCCTCAAGCGGGCCATTTCGGCCCATTTTGGAAAAAATTTATGTTTTTTTTTTTTTTAATTTTTAATGGATGCTCCACTTTTCCGAGACTTTTATTCAGTAATCTAAACTCACAAAGAGTCCGTCGTACTAGGTTTTCCGGGGATTACGTCAAAAAATCTCGGGTCCGTGGAGCAGCCATGGTATTTTAATTCCTATTATTAAATCTATTTTCCATCTATCCAACATATGCAAAAAAAATATATATATATATATATATATATATATATATATATATATCTTTTAGGAACAACTCAATTTAATTCTGGCGAAAGATAAATTTGATGAGTTCTTCGTTGCTTAGAATGAACAGATCTCTAATTCGGTGAGCCACGTTTTGAATATTTGCCTGTGAAAAAATAGTGAATTCATTGGGCATTAAAAAGTTCTGTTTAAGTAAATTGTAAAATTTCGTTCCCCTGTAACTTATCGACATTCTCTGCATTTTGGTTTTTAAATTAGGAATTTTCATCAACTCTGAAATAACCCTCCTAGTCCTATAGGTTGGTATTTCAAATTTAAAAAGTTCATTTAGAAATTCTTCAGAATGAATTCCGGAGACAGATCTCAAAACAAATTTTAGAAGTTCATACACATGTAATTCGTGGATAGTTAAGATTCCTTGATCAAAAAATACATCCCGTATTGTTTCAAAATTTCTTTTGAAGTAAATTAGGCGAATAATTTTTTTTTGTTTCATCAAAAGAAGCAAAAGATTTGTATAGCTGGTACAGCCGTACACTAAAACGCCGTATTGTACAATTGGTTTAATATTAGAGGCATAGTATTTTAGTATGGTACCTCTGGGAACATAATGACGCATTTTTGAAATGATTCCACATTGTTTTCTAAGCTTAGTTCGAACTAAATCAATATGAGTATTGAAAGATAATTTAGCATCCAAAATAATTCCAAGATATTTGCAAGATGAAGCATTTTTTAAAGGTAATTTATTTAAATAAATGTTTTGGTTGGAAGCACTATTTGAAGAAACGTAGACTTGAACAGTTTTATCTATATTCAGGGATAATTTATTTAATATTAACCACTTGCCTACAGCTTCTAAGTCTTTGTTGAAATTTTCAACAGAGCAATTTAAAGCAGTTATGTTAGTATCATCGGCAAACAGGAAAACTTCACTATATTGGCAGACTTGGGGAAGGTCATTAATATATATCAGAAACAAAAGTGGTCCTAGTATTGACCCTTGAGGGACGCCGCACTTTAAGTCCATCCACGATGACTTTGTTGTACCTATTTCTACTACTTGTTTTCGATGTTTCAGATAGCTTATGAACCAACTTAAATCTTTTCTATTTATCCCATACATTTGCAACTTTTGAAATAGTATCTGATGATCCAGTGTATCAAAAGCTTTTTTTAAATCAAGAAAAACAGTATATTTTTGCTTTGCGACCTGCTCATATCTAAACGAAGTTTTTCTGTTACTTCCGCAATTGCAACGACTGTGCTGTGATTTTTGCGAAAACCAAATTGTTTAATGTATATTAACGAATTCGTTTCCAAGTAATTGTATACTCTGTTGTCCATTACTCGCTCAAAAACCTTGCTCCAGGTGACAAGATGGGATATTGGTCTGTAATTTGTAATATCAAGTTTAGAACCTTCCTTATATAATGGATAGACAACAGCCCTAGCTAGACAGATAGGAAAATGGCCAGATTTAAAAGAAACTTCAATGAGTTGCCTTAATATGGGTACAATCGCAAATGAGCTTGCTATCAAAACAAGATTACTGATTCCATCCACGCCAGATGAAGCTTTATTTTGTAGGTTAGAAATGATAATTTGAACTTCACTCTCCGTAACAGGGAAATTGAACATGCAAAAGTTAGGTGTATCAAATGATTGTGTGATTCCCTAGTTTGGTATGTTTTTCGCCAGATTTATGCCAATCGAAGAGAAATGAGCATTAAATTCATTTGCAATTGCCGATTCATCGGTGATACAATTTCCGCTAATGGAATTGATCGAAACAATTTTTTTTGATGTATTTGTAATTCCCCTTAAATTATTTAAAAGTTTATATATCTGTCTTGAGTCACCAACACACTTACTAAACTTATCATAGCAATATTAAAAAAGCTCATTGCTCAAAAAAATCAGCGTGCGTCAACACAGGCGAAAAAAAAACATAAGCAGACAAGCTAAAGTTCGACTATATTTCTTAATCTCAATTTCACATTTCTTCCGGACAATTTCAAAACGCAACCTGGCACCAACTTCAGATTTATTGTTACACCATGTTCTATGAAGCCTGTTTCGTTTTGCGATTAGGTTTTTAATACGATTCGACAGCGAAAAAGATCTAGATTTCCGCTCTTGTGTCTTTGTGGTTTTCAGTGGTGCGTATTTGTCTAATACACTGCTAAACGTGGACTGAAATTCCACAAATAAATCATCAATGCCTTTTGATGGGTCTAAAGTGTCATTATAGTGTAATTTGTTCATAAGTGTTTGATTAAGATTTTCTATCTGTATTTTTGATTTTAAGAAAGTTGTATCACGATAAATTTTTGGACAAATTCTCTTTGATATTTGGGTGTTTAATTCTAAAATAATCGGAAAGTGGTCAGAAAATGGTTGATTTTCAAGAGCATAGGCTGCTTTTACATTAACATCTTTAACTATCATGTGATCTAGAAGAGTTTCACTTTTGTAACCAACTCTGGTTGGTTGCTTTATCAGTTGATTGAAACCATTATTTTCGACAGCATCAATGTATTTAGAAGATAGATTGTTCGACTTAAGGATGTTTCTATTAAAATCACCACATATTACCGCGCGATAATTTTTGTTGCTTATAGCTTCCAGGTGCTTATCGAATTCGTCTACAAAAGTAAACTTATTATCATTGGGGGATTGTAGACAAGCATTATTTGGAAAATTTCATTGTTTAATTTAACTAAAACTGAAATACTTTCCGCCAACTCTGAGTTAAATTCTTCTATAATAGTTACATTATCTTTCAATTGCATCATTACCCCGCCTCCTATTCCTTTCCTCGATTTATTAATTATAGTTTTATAACCACTAAGTTTGAAGCAGTTGACACTATTATCATCCTGTAACCAAGTTTCACTAATGCACTAATACGTCCGGTGGTGACTCAAGGCTATTTATTAGTGCTTCCAACTCATCGTGATGTTTATTAAGGGATCTCACATTCATATGAAAAATTTTAGCAACTTTAGAGAATGAGGTAGATGTTACTGGTTTTGATTCTGGTTGCTATTGTTTTACAAAACAACTCTCAAGCTTTTCTATTTTGTATTGAAGCTGTTGCGTTCCTTCAAAAAGTCCTCGGATACACTGAATGTTTTGGTTTTCTTTAAACTTGTAGTAGATGTTCCCCTCTCGCGTCCAGGCTGATTCAATCCTTGAGACTTGTTTCATTAAATTGAAAAACTTCAATCGCGGTGCCGTTAGATCTTCGAATATTTTCACGGAGTGCATAGTCTGCGACTGGTTCAGGTTTTTCTTCTTGCGCAGCAGTTCCACCTTGGCAATCCGTCTGGAGAAGCGCACTATCATTGGCCGGGAGTTTGCATTTCTTCCAGGTAATCTGTGAGCAATAGAAATATCGCTCTTCTCAATCTCAGCGCCAGCTTCTTTGGCGACGCTCAATACTTTGTCAATGCTTTGGAAATAGTCTTCGAATATTCTTCTCCCGTTTTCATTTGTACCTCGTTCTTCCTGATTTCCAATGATCCTCACATTATCTCTTCTGTTGTATCCCTCAAGAAGCTCGTCTTCTGAAGCTGCTTTTAGTCTGCACTTTCTGACCTCTTGCTCTATTGTTTGTTGTGCCTCCCTTAGAACCGTTTCTTTGACATCTTGCAGACCCTGGCCTATTAAAGACTTAAAAATTGCGCTTCATGTAGTTTCCAGTTTCTCAATGATTCGAGGGATTTGCTTCTCAAAGACTTTTTCGATACTCGACTCTATGATTTCATTGATGTTGGCATTTGATTCGGATATGGATGCCAAGTCAGGAGGACTTAGTACGGCACAGCTTCTTTTTGAAGTTGATTTCGCAATAGGTGTTTGGTCTTGATATCTGAGCTGAGGGATTGCGTTGTTTTCTTCTTGAATACTAAAAGTCTCTGGTTCCTCAGTGTTCCCTGCTGTGTTCATTTGGGAATTATCCATTCTGTGTCTCTGAAACTATTTAATAAGTTTATCACAACAATTAGGCTAATTATAATCGATTACTTTTCGAAAAAAAAATTCTCATTTTCTTTTCTTTTATAATACATTTTAATCGATTATAGCCCATTATTTTTTGAACTGAATTCGATTATTTTTGCAAAAATTTTGCAAATTTTGCAGGAAACTTTGCAAAATTTATGCCATGTGTTTTACTAAATGCCATTTCTCAACATCACTTTCTCTAGTTTTTTGAACTCCCACATCGATTTCTGACAATACTCTGTTAGAAGGCCATTGATCTGGAAGCAAACGAAGCCAAAGAAAAAAATTGCCAAAAGAATAGAAGTTCAAGTTCTTTGAGTTTAAAATTTTCATCCCACAACATAATTATTTTAATTTAAAAAAAGAAAATGAAAGTCATTTCCACCAACCAACCGAAACAAAGTTACTGCAAACACAAAACATGAGCCGAAATCACATAGACCGAAAAGTTGTGAAATCATATAGACTTAAACAAAAAAAGACATATTGCAGTCGGGCATTGTTTATTTAGTAACTACAGAAAGAAGTAGTTCAAGATACTTGAGATTACATTAAAAAAGCTCATTGCTCAAAAAAATCAGCGTGCGTCAACTCAGGCGAAAAAAAAACATAAGCAGACAAGCTAAAGTTCGACTAATCAATTTTTCGCGGAAAAGATAATCAGTTTCCAAAACAAGGTCCGGCCGGGACTCGAATGATCAGAGGAAAATGTTTTACCTCCAGACCAAGTAGAAAGGGGTCTGAAAGATGCTTAGAATCAATAAGAAAAGTTGCTTGCAGGAAAAAAGTCTAGATCCTGATACATCGAAACTTGCTCTAGCAAGTGAGATTACATATAAGCTAGATTATTTGTCAAAACGAAAACTTAATTTTTGCAATGCGTCAATGATAGATGCTTCAGTGAAAAAAAACCACGCAAAAATTGTTCTTTTTTGATAAAAAGTACAAAAATATGAAAGTTGTGTGAACCAAAAATATAAACATGGCATATCTCAAATTGCAGCTAATTTGTGATAATTCTGCAGCTCTAGTTCATTCTATTTTCTAACAAACTTTCACTCATGAATTAAGATGAACCAATGCAGATTTGATTAATAGAAAATGTTATAAAAAAATTAAAATAGAACAATGAAGAAAGTCAAATATTTTGCGCACCAATTCAGTGCACTGTGAGTTATGACCGAAGTGTAACTCATAGAGTAATTTCGGATAGGGTACACCGTCTGCTCGTCACGCTATCTTATTTTCGGCCGGATAGATTCGTGCAACTTCTTAGTCTAATACCGATCCTAATCTTACTCTTATACTATCTAGTCTCAGGTTGTTTAACTAGTCTCTGCTAGGCTCAATAGATCTAGGGTATACTGGTTTATTGCGGCTGCTGAAGTGCTCGGGAGAGTCCAACTAATTTCTAAGTTAAATTCAAATCTCTCTGGTGCTGAAATTACAAGTAACTTCAGCACTTACAAATAAGTGGGTTGTTAGTTAGATGGATCATGATTGGTTAATATTAAATACTTTACATTGGTAAAACATTTAATTTATCCAATCATAAAATATAGTTTAGATCAGGTTCCACCCATCCGGGTTTTACAGAGTTTTTTAGAACAGTTCTTCTGTAATTCAAGGATGGATGATGGACGTTGGTATTTGGCGAACATCATATTTCTTTCGCTTCTTCTTGTGACAACGACTGAGTCTCTGCAACAAAGTCAATTCTGATTCCAGAATGGTTGGCTATGTCAGGTTTTTCTGTTCTGCGTGGAGAACTTCTTTTGTGTATGATCTAGTTTGGGAATGGCGTGGAGATTGTGCGTGGAGGGGATGCCTGGTTACTCGGATCTGTACGTATACTTGAACATCGAGGTGGTCATTGGTCTAGTTCAATGAAGTCCTTTTCTGCGAGGTCAAGTCGTACTCTAAATCCTTTGAGTTGTGATTGTGAGCGGCATATCGATTGTAGTTGGTCATTCTCTCTCGAGTGTAGTGAGGTCGTCTTGTCTTTTGATGTTCGTCCTTGATGTTGTATTCTGATCTATATATTGCATCATGTGATTTTACACTTTATAAAACTCTTATTAGTTTAATATTTTTTAATAATGATTTTAGTTAGTTGTTTTCACAAAAGCTTTTTGTTTTAGTTCGGTTATTTTGAAGAGTTACTCACCCTTGAGTAGCTCTTATTAAAAATAAAGGTGCGGTCACAAAGCGTGGATGTAGCGCGGTGGGTTAGGCCGGCTATAGAGCATGCTCAGGACGTCCTTTCCTGGTGGGTTAGGCCAGGAGTGGGAGTATGATTTCATGCGGTGTTTGTGAGGGGTCCTGTTATGTGACAACGTTTTATGTTGGGTTTGTTGTGGTTTTACTTATGTCTTGTTGGTTATGTACTTTTTCCAAAAAGCAAATTGTTTGTGGTATGGGTTTGTCTTTCGACTTTTTTGTGTTTTATTATTTCTTTCTAAGACTTTGTAATAGTCTTCAAAAGAATAAATTATCCAGTTTTAAACTGGGTTAATCCGGTTTGGGTACCGTTGGTTTCCTTTTCTAAGTCATGCTGTTATTCTATGATTTGTGGTATTTAGTAAGCTGCGTTGGTTAGTTTTGTTTAGTATATGATTCCTTTCCAACCGGGTTAAAGGAAAGTTTGAAACATGTTATTGTATGTTAGAGTTGTTGAGTGTGAAAACTTGAAACTGAAATTCATTATTTTAAACAATTCTTCGTGGGCGAGCTGTGCGAGTGTGGATAGAATTTCTGTGCGAATGAATGAAAATATCAAAAGGTTAGTACTGCAATTGCATTTTATTAATTTACTGCATAGAATTTGGAAATTTACTGCTAGTTATGGGGGAATTTTAAGATACAAATTTTCATCATATGTAGATTTACTGCTTTTTGGGGGGAAATTTTATAAATTAATTTACTGCATTGGTATTATATTTATTTAATTGTTGGTGCAAAAGTTTAATAGGGTCTTAAACAGTTTTGAAGAAGTTTGCTATTTTTTATTTTTCTTTTGTGAATTTTTCAGATGATCTAGGATGAAGGCTAAAAATCTAAAGAAAACATGAATAAAGAATGGTGAGTTTTTAATACTGTAATTAATTAGTAATATTCATTTAATTCATACTTACCTGTTAGTCGTCGGGGAAAAAACCGTGGGGGAAGATGTCGTGAATTAGTTCTGAAGTTGTTAGTAGTTTAGCTAAGATGCGGATGATATTTTTAGTTTGAAGCAGTGGCCAAAGCAATTGAAGTGCCTTAATAGTGGTTAGTTCTTCAGTGCCTACTGCAAACTCATAAGGTGTGTTTTGGATTAAGTTATATAATTTGTGGTTAAATTTAGTGTTGTGGATGAATTCTAAAATTGGGATTTCTATAGGTTGTAGGAATTCGTGCGGGATAAGGAAGGGTCGGGATTCTTCGGCGTTGAAGGTCTTGGTGATGGGGCAGAAAATGTACATTTGGGTTATGGGGTCATAATTACGAAGAATACCATGGAGGTTAGTGTCTTTAATACAATATGTGAAATTTAGGAAATATGGTGAAGTGTATTTTGAATTGATGAATTGGAAACGATGGTGTGGTTGTCTAGAGGGTGTGTGGAGGTCAAAGTGATTTTGGATGAAACGATAGTAACTGTATGTATGTGTTTGTTTAGTGCGCAACATAATATCGTGTGAGCAGTGTAAATCTCTTTCGTGTGGTGCAAGGAAATGAAAGGTTAGTGAAAATATTTGGAAGCGTTCTTTAAAACTTTCGTATGCTTGTGTGTCTGTTAGTGCTTCTGAAATAATGTGATCAAACTTGCGGTCGAAGATGTTTAGTGTAAATATATATGGTGTCTTGATGAAAAATTTCTCGGTGATTTGTGGATTAGCGAAGCGATCGTCGTCTAAGAATTGATCTTGGTTAGCTCTAATGATGTTGTGATCGTAGTATTCTAGTGTATATTCATTAGCTCTAGGTGCAGTGTGTATTTTTAGTGATTTTTTATATCCAACGTAAGTAAATTGTCTAGCGGTTAGTGGTGTAGTTAGTCGATATAGCATGTCTTTGTTTCGGTCTATATCGATGGCAGTGCTGGATAAAGGTAAGCAAAGAGGGTTAGTGAAATGATAGTATGAGGTCCAAGAGAGAGTGGGCATTAAAACGTATTCATCTACAAAGTTGCGTGTTTCGTTAGCGTCGTGAGGGGTGTTTAAGGTGTATTGTGGAAATGAGGGTAAAGTGATAGCTAAAAATTCTTTAGTGTTAGTATGCTGGGGGTGGTTGATGTATTCACGGGCTGTTCCTGGTTTTGCTGGGAAAGGATGGTTGGGGAATTTTCTTTTAAAAGTGCGGTAAGCTCTATTAGTGTTTAGTGAAGATATAGTGGATGTGGATGATGGTGTTAATGATTCAGTATAATTTGAAGAGGGTGTAGGGGGATTGGATGAATTTGTAGTGGAGGAGATTTGGTTTATGGTCGGGGTGTTAAGGTGGTAGGGTTGCTGTTGGAGGGTAATAAAATTATCTAGCTCTGGGGAGATTCGGGGGGTGTCTGGAGAATGAGATGATTGGTCAGATTGGTATGAGGAGTAGGTTGGGGTAACTTGGGAAGCATAAGAGGGTGTCGGAGTGATTGGGTCAGGGTTATTTGACAATATGGGTTGAA